CAAAGCAATATATTTCACTTACCCTGATTCTAACCCACTATTCCATAAATAATCACAAATTGCAGCTTCGATGTCATCAATTCCGCTTGGAATATCCTCTTTTTCAACCTACAATTTTGCATACAAATATTTTTCACAACAACATGATAAAGATCAAATTAAGTTTTCTTTTATTCAACTTACCTTTTGCTTCTTCTTCTGGGGTGCAGGACATTCTGAATCCAAATCTGCATCTATAACACTCTCCGGTGTATAGATCACATCGACATCCTTCCTCCTCATTTCCTTCATCTTTTCTTCTTCATATTTTTTCAGTTCATCGTATTTTTGCTCTACATAGATCTTCATCTCTTTTATTTCACCCTTCAATTTTTCTCCTCCATCCAAGTATTGATCAACCACCCCCTTCACCCCCGTAATTTCACTCCTCAATTCCATAACCTCCTTCACCACTTCATCAAAATTTTCACCCGTAACCATCTTAAGATCACCCCTTAACACCTCAACTTCTTTCACCACTTTACCCCTCAACACCTCTACTTCTTTCACCACTCCATCTATTTTTCCTTCCACTTCCCCCTTATGCCTCTCAAGTGTATCTTCAACTCTCTCAAGTTTCTCTTCGACTCTTGATTGTCTTTGCATGATATCAAATTGGATTTTTTTGATATCAGCCAATTCAGACATCAAAATGTCGAAGTTACTCTGTTTTCCCTCACTGTCACCCCCCAATACAATCATCTCTTCTTTCTTCTCCTCTGCCTCCTCTACCTCCTTGCCAATAACCTTCAAAATTAAATTACAATATTAAGACATTGATTATATTCTTAATATTATTTAATTACATTTATTACCCTTTCTTGCTTCCTCGGTGTATCCAACTTCAACTTCGCCATCACTCTAACTACCTCTTCCTTCTCCCATACACGGATACGTGCCACTCCGGTTCTTTTATAAGCCGGCATTGCCTCACAGCCTGACCAAAAATTGAACAGTGCAACCTGCATTTATAATAGAATTTATAATTTTATATAATAACTATTATATCATTTTATATAAAAACACAAAAAAATTCTTCAACTCATTTACCTCTAAGATTGATATGCACCCTTTGAGGTATCTCTGGCTGTCCTTTTTAAAGGTGATTATTGATTCAATCAATCTCGAATGGACATATTTAGCCCAATTGAATTCACCCTTCAAGCCTTCATCGCAAATGAGCTTCATATAGTCCTTGTTCATTGACGTATCACCCGTTGGACAAATAAATATACCGACAAGGTACAATAGAATCTGGCCTTCAGTTCACCCCCTCCCCCGTAAGATCCACTTTTGATTTCCTCTTCAAGTTCAGCATATGTCACCTTCTACTTCAAACCATATTTGGAGGCAAGTGTTTTCCAGTTCTTACTCTTACAGACTTCTACAACACTTTTGCCTTCATTTTCTACCCCCAATACGGCTGCAGCACATGGGATCCCGAGAGGAAATGAAAAATCACCATTCTTAGCAATACATTGTTTGACATCAAATTGCGCCATCAAGGATCAACATAATTCCCTCCGAATAGATCAATCTCTTACTTCTACCAACGATCCAAACCCTATTTCTCCCATCACATTCAACTGACCCTTCTCCTTAAGTTGTTTAATTAATGAATTCACCCTTTTAATGTTGCACCTTGTCGACACTTCCTATATTTTTTAACAATATATAATGTTATAGTTCTTATATATTTTATATCAGCGTATTTACAAGTTTAATGAATACCTTATTTTCATGTGCTTTCCTCCATTCTTTGTATTCTTTACTATCATTCTTTGATTGTGTGATGTAAGGCTCCTTTTCAGCATCACTCATCGAATTCCATTTCGACCTGACATCTTTTGTCACCTAATATTAAGCATAAACGTTTCTTAATCAATACATTAACACTAAATAATACTCAATGTCCATTTCATTTTACATACCGAACCGCTCTGTGTGCCATCTTCCTTCATCCTTTTGTATTCAGCCATACTATCAACATTTAAAATTTGTAATCAATTTAAAGTTCTTAAATACTTTAATCCAATTACCATTTCAACAATAATAACAAAAAGACATTGATACTTATTAGAAGTACATATATCCACCCTTTGGTTGCTTTCGAGTCTCGGCCTCAATTTCAATGTCATATGCGCCACCAATAATTTTTTCCACCCATTGACTCCATTTTTCCTTCATATATCAGCTTACGTAAATCAAATCAAATACTTGTTACATACACTTTATTCAATATACAAATATAGATAACTACTCTTGTGATAAAACAGTTTTCTTCAAAAGAATTTGAATGGCCACTACAAAATGTGTCGGCACATTTATACATCCTATAATATCATTTTCTACCTATAATATTTAATAAAAGTATCGACATTTATATTTTACCTTGAATATCACTTTCTACCTGTAATCGGTCTCAAATGCTTCTTTACTCCAAAACCCCAAATAACATATAAAAACCCTATTTTCGATTACCGTAATAATAAAAAACTAGGGTTTCGACAACATACTTTTCGATTCGACTGCAGCAACAAACAAACAAACTTCGCTAATGCCTTCTGAAATGCAGCAACAATTATGCTTCGATTTCAAAAACTCGTCTGTTCTATCTATTTTCAGAGGATATTTAGCTATAACCTTTATATTTTCATCGGATATGTTATTTATATTTAATCGATACAACTACCAAAGTGTCGATACTTTTATGTCAGGTGTCGATACTTTCGATAGGATAATTACCTATTTCTTTGAAAGTATCGATAATTTATTACACGTACTTATGAAAGTATCGACATTTACCGGTTTTATCATTTCGATACCGATTTTATCATATTTTTACCTGTTATATCGTTGTGGATCGATATATTTTTATAAAGTATCGACACTTTATAGGCGCTAAAACTGTTTCTCTTTTAAATTCACAAAGTGTCGATACTTATATTAAAGTATCGACACTTTAAATATATCCGGTAGCACTTTACCGGTTTTATCATTTCGATACCGGTTTTGTCAAATTTTTACATGTTATATCGTTGTGGATCGATACATTTTTATAAAGTATCGACACTTTATAGGCGTTAAAAATATTTCTCTTTTAAATTCACAAAGTGTCGATCCTTATATTAAAGAATCGACACGTTTAATATATCCGGTAGGGCTTTACCGGTATTGTCTTTTCGTGACCGGTTTTATCATATTTTTACCTGTTATATTGATATGGATCGATACATTTTTAATTTGGATCGACACAAACCAACAAGTTAAGTTTGCCGGTTGGCAAATTTTTTAATATTTCTTCATGACTTATACCTACTATATTATTATTACTCAACATTTCCGGTAGCGCTAAACCAAATTTATTAAATATCTTTTAATGTATTCGGTAACGTCGTATATTAGCCGTATATTAACCCGCCTTTCCTGAGACAATCCGCTTTATAAGACATCATCATCCGTCGATACTTGATTCAATGTCAAATCATATAAAAAAAACATCCAATCCATTGAACTCTAAGACAAATACCATTAAATCAATATAAATCCTTAACCATAGGGGTATTCAAATTAATCCGTTAATGTTAATCGTAACTATTAACCAAAGTAACTATTATATTTTATAGGCTAAAAGATTAAACGATTTTGGTTAACCGAATCATTAAAAATATCGATTAACGGTTACGGTTAATGAAATTTAATAAATGGTTAATTATAGGTTAACCGTTAATAACTTATAATTAATTAAGTATATTTTTTAGATAATAGAATTAAAAATAAAATCAAAAAAAGTCCTCATATTTTTTTGTTATCATATTTATCTTATAGAGGATCACATTAAATCAAACATAGATGAAAGAGATACATGATTTTATATTACAAAATATAACACAAGATTTTAAACTGTAAAGAAATGAATATACCTCATAATATATATATATATATATATATATATATATAACAAAATACATCTATAAATAAAAAAGATTTTTACAAATATATATGTCTCTATCATTGTAATTTTTATGAAAATTTGAAAATTTTAAGTTGTGTTATGTTTGAAAAAAATTGTAATAGGTTACCCTATAACCGAACCATTATTAACGGTTAACCGTTTTTAATGGTTAGGTTATGATTAACAAAATTTAATAACAGTTTAACCGTTAGTTGTTAACTGTTTCTTAATGGTTAGGTTATGATTAGCAAAATTTAATAAGCATTATAACGGTTAACCGACAATTTAGACTAAATGGTACGGTTAATCGACCGTGAACACACCCTAATAGAACTTGTCTAACCTTAACAAATTAAAGAAAATTATAATTGTAAAATTTGAATTATTTATAATTTATAAGTTTTAAATCCGAATATTCAAATCAAAGCTCTATTTTTATGTAATTTTTAATTAATTTTAATCTTTTACAACGAAAAGAATGAAATTTGATATTAAAATCTGTAAAAATAAATAAAAAAATTATTTAAAATTTATTGAATATAATTAATTACAATATGGATTTTAAAACTTTAGTACTGTTCAAACACTATAAAAACAAAATCCAATATCAATATAAAGTTTAAAAAATATTAAAATTTTAAAATTAATATAAAAACTAAGAACAAAATCAAATAGGATGGAATGAAAATATTATGAACCTTCAAAAAGTTTTGATCAAATTAAATAACATCTTAAAAATATAATACCAGGTACCCAAAAATATATAATAACATCTTAAAAATATATTTTAATACAAGGCTCAAGGTGTATGATTTAGGGTTCAAGATGAAAGGTTTAGGGCTTGGAGCTTGAGGTTCAAGATTCAAAGTTTAAGGTGTAGTGTTCAGGATCTTAGGTAAGGGGGTTAGGGTTTAAGATTTAGGTGTAGTGTTAGCAGTGTAGGGTTTAAGTTTAGGGTTGGTATCCTGCTGCTCAAAACCATACAGTAAAATGAATCGAGTGTATCTTCATGGCACAATATATATTTTGTACTAAACATGTATTACAAAACATCCTATTCCTCCAAATAAAACGTGTTGTGAGGAAATTCGCGAGCTAGTTAAGAAACTGTTATCCTGGTAAATTCCTCGTGAAACCATTCTCCATAGGCAGTCGATGTAAAAGCTTAGAGCTGATCGATATTTAAAGCATCTCACATCCATGAATTCATAGTAATTGTTAACACCGTCTTAGACCATTCTTCTTACATAGCAACATCTGGATCCAGCCGTTTTTGTATGGCAGCTGCAGCCTGTAAATTTTTAAAACAATGCTACATCAATCATTAACGGCGAAATAATTCAGGATTGCAAAAGTAAGATAAACCTGATAGTGCATCCTCACCTCAAAGTTGCCAATTTTGTACATGTAAGCCATCTCTTCCCGTAGCTGAGCTTGTTCTTTCATTGCTTGTGCCTGCAAATTCATATAGATGGAGGTCAGAAAACATAACTTGCCCAGGGTTCATCAGATCAGAAGCAAAATAGCCACTATGTTAAGAAGGCTAAGAAAGAGCTAACCATTCCACTCTGCATGGAGCGTTTCAAAGCTTCGACCTCTTCTTCCTTCTGCTTTTCACGAGCCATAAGCAGTTCTTGCCTGAATGTGCAGAATTGAGATTATGAGCCGACATAAGTATGCAATGGCACGTAAACAAGCTTATCATTGCTAAAATGTTCAAATTTAAAACTCAAATTCCCAAATCACAGAACACAAGAGAACAAGCATTCACTGTCACTTTGTCCTCCAAAGAGGCAGAAATAAACCTTGGAGCATAATATATTTCATAGTAATATAGGATCACTAAACCAGATACTACAAACAGTTTTAGATAGCATTTTACAGTTGAGATCTTAGTTTAAAAAAGCGCCACTTAAGCGCGATTAAAGCGCTAAGCAACTCGAGCGAGGCCCCTGACGCTTCAGCATAGCAAAAGCACTACGAATTCATTAAGCGGTAGTAATCGGCGCTTTTGCAGCGCTTTTAGCAAAGCGCTAATCGTCGCTTAATCGCGAGTTTAGAAGATACGATTCTGGGCTTTAGCAGATACGATTTTTGGGCTTATTTAGGGTTTAGCGGGCTATTAAATTATCAGTTTTGGTTTTTTTTTTTTCTTGTAGCTTCACACTAAGAAACGAAATAGATTGGCACAATCTAGATTGAATGACTTGGTGTTTGTGAAATTCAATCATGCCTTGGAGCGCCGAGCTAAAAGTAAGGAGACCGATCCCATTCTTTTGCAAGATATTGATGAGAGCAATGAGTGGTTGATGGGAAGAATGGAAGAAGATGAAGATGATGATGAGGCGGTGTTTGTTGGTGAGGATTTGACATAGAGTGATGTTGCTAACGCTTCCGGTGCATATGAGCCTAGTTATCTAACTAGAGCATCAAAAGTAGTGAATGATGGAGCCGGACCATCGAGAAATGATAAAGGAAAATCTCCTGCTCATAATCCTATCTCTAGTAGACCATCTCGTAGATGCTTAGTTGATGAAGATGAGATGGAAGAAGATATTGGAGTGTCTAGTGATGAAGGAGATGGTGTTGTCCGAGTTGATGACGATGACGATTTAGAGGATTTTTAGTTATAAGGAATTGAGGGTTTAGAAAAATACTTTTGTTCATCTCACTTTAGACTACATTTAGTGTAGACCATCTTTTGAGATTAGTATGCTCGTATAGTCGTATGGTTAATTGTATATAAGTATTTAAGTGTTTATAACTTATAAGTTATAAGTAAATTGAGAATTATATTTTGATGTTTAAGTACTTATTAGTTTTGAATATATGTATTGACACTTTGATATTTAAGTATTTATAAGATAATTTATAAATATTTTGTATTTTTTTGTGAATTTCGGCCTTTCTGGCGCTTCTTGTGCATAAAGCGAGCGCTTTCGCTTAGCGCTTCGGCGTCTAGAACCCTAGGCGCTTTAGGGCGCTTTACGCTTTTTAAAACCAAGGTTGAGATTTTACAAACAATTCTTGTTTAGGGTCAATGACATCGTCATAATTTGAGCATCTCAGATACACATACAACAGCATAGAGTGCAACATCATCCTTGCTTTGGATGATCAAGGGATGTGTAAATAAACAAGCAATCAAAATGCAAGTTCTGTAAGTCGATATGAACCGTATATTAATGGAACTGCATTAAAGAAACTACCTCCATTAGAAGTTTTATCTAATGATGGGTAAAAACAGTGCTAATTGATAGCACAAATGGCAGTTTATAAGCAAGTATACCAATCAATTGCGAACTTGATGATTAGAATAGCGCTTAAGAGAAAAGGAATGCATGAAAAGTCAAATACAAGTCCAATTCAAAGAAAGATATATTCAAGAAAGCTGCAAAAATTGCTACTTGTATTTCGATATAGTAGTGTGCAGTGGAAGTTGAAACATACCGGCGTTGTTCTTCATCATTGAATACAATTCGCTCTGCTTGGAGAACCTTTTTAACACCCTTCTTGCTCTCTTTCTCCATTTCACGCTTATAATAAGCATCAAGATTATAATATCTCCAATGGCAAACAAAGAAGCTATCAAATCTATGCCTCAATGGTAACCCAACATACATGCCAAATTATTGTTAAATATCTTGGAATGTAATATATCTCCAATAAATAAAAGCTGAACAGGACCCAAATTTTGGCGGGGATAAAGGACCAATTTCTTAAATAATGAAACGATTTACTTTAGCTCTTCTCTATTTTCCTGGAACTATTATTTACCTAAGTAGACAATGGAATACATCCTTTCAAGGTATGTTACTTGGAGTGTCAGACATACCTATGTGTCCAACACCGATATGTTCAATCTCTTCCAAAATTTTCATATGTTTGGAAGATTCTTGGAGGGTCATATCAAATCCCCAAACTTATGTTCAGATTTGAGGTGAACATGGGTACTTCTAGAGAAACAGAGTCGAAGCAACATAGATTTCAAAGAAAGGGGGGAAATGCATAAATCCAATCCATGTCTCTCTCTTTTCTGATTAAAAATTTTATGACATTCTTGTTGAAAAATAATCTATAATTCTATATAATCACAAAGCCTTACTTTTTGGAAGGAAAGGTGGCTGTGTTGTGATCTTCCATAAAACTGCAAAAATAAACATATATTCTTATATTTGCAAAATTAATTTTAACAATAGAAAGTTAAATTTTCATGCATGATCATAGAGACCATGAGAAGAGAATCGAAAGACAATTCACATACTCTTTAAACAACTGCTTCTCTTCCCAGTTGGGCAAACTTTCCAAGTTTATCTGTGAAGAGAGATCAGAAATATAGATGCATTTACTGTCAGGAAACAAAGCAAAAAACAGTTCATTACATGGGAAACAAAAATTGTAACACCAAAATTGCTGAAAGAAAAGATTACCTGTTTTACTTCAGATAACCATGCCGTGAATTCAGGTCGCTTATTCCTACACATTAGAGGAACAGTAATTATTATAACATATATGGGAAAGTGGCTCCAAATTTCATATTCATGAGATAATTTTCAACTCAGAGTCGGCATTTCCGAATCCATGAAGGTTCAATTTTGATTCCAAATTTTCGCATAATAAAATGTGTCTCAGTTTCCAAAAACTTCTCCAAAAAATAAAATAGAAGGGTTGAAAAATGAATGAATTTTACCACATATCAGTTTCTCTGATAATACCATATTTTCCCCAAGAATCAGTGACTGCACCTTTCTTTCCTCTGTCTGACTTCTCCTTTTTCTCTGCTTTCCTTTCTTTCTCTTTTCTCTTCTTCCTTTTCCTCTCTTCTTCTCTCACCTTTTCTTTCCTTCTCCTTTTCTTTTCCTTCTCTTTCCTCCTCTTTTTCCTTTCCTTTCCTTCTCTCTCTCTTCTCTTCCTCTTTCTCCTCCTCCTCTCCTCCTCCGAATCCGAGTACCCTGATTCCGATTCCGAATAGTCGGAATCCGATTGGGATTCTGAATCCGAATACGAATCTTCTTCACTGCTATCGCTTCTGTTGTGTCTTCTTCGTGATTTGCTTTGTTTTTTCCCTTTGTCGCTTTTGCTATGGCTTTTGGGCTTTGTATCTTCAGACTCTGACTCAGATTTAGATTTCGATTTCGACTTCGATGGCGTTCCCGTTTCTTCGTCGGAGTTCTCTGGGGGAGAAACGTTCCGATCTTTGCCCATGTTGTCGGATTCTTTGAGGTTTATTGATTGAGAAGAGGAAGAAAGCGAGGGCTTTAATAATTCGCACTTTGGGGAGGCGTCTTTTGTTGCAAAGAAAATGATTTTGAAGCTAGAAAAAGAAAAAGGAAAAAATGAAATAGATACTGGGTTGGGCTAAACCCACTTTTATATCCTCCAAATGGGCTTCTTTACCTGGGGTTATAAACAAGTCGAGTCAACTTCGAGTACGGTTAAATTTAATTTCGATTCGACTCAAAAAGTTTAAAATTGAATTTGAATCGAAATCAAATATTAAAGGTTGACTTGAGTTGAAAAAAAAATTAAACTCGAAATATTTTCATACTTATTTCGATTAAAGCTCAATTTCCAACATGAATGGATAAGGTCCTCGTGCTCGATGTAAAGAGGCATAATGAAAATTTTGGTGAATTTCTGCAGATTCGAGTGGAATTCAATATAAATAAACGCCGAGTTTTTCCATTAAAGTTTAAATGCTTACCTCAATTTTGTTTCAATTGTGGTGTGATGGGACACCTAGTCGACAAGTGTCAAAATAAAGTTGAGGGAGCGAAGGATGGATTAAATTATGGTGATTGGATCAGAGTTAAACCTCAATAACCTAGAGTACGATCCCGACCACAATAGTTCATTTATCTGGAGCTTGCAGCTTCTCGGTCAAAGATTGATGACGAAGGTAAACCTGAGGAGGAATGGGGTACATCCTCCCAATAACTGAAGAAGATTTTGAGAATCAAACGATGAACCCAGAAGAGGCAGACAGTAGCAAACTTACAAACAAAGAGTTACATGAGGTCCTTACCGGAGATGATCTCAGGGAGGATATGGATACTGAAATTGCTAAGGATCAGCTGGCTGCATCAGAGGAGCCATGTACTGACATAGCAACCAAGGAGGGCATTAAGTTGGAGATTGATAAAGGGAAGGAGAAAACATAATTGGCTAAAAGTGACAAACCAAAAAGTCGCAACGGAAAAGATGATTCTGGAGGCAAGAATTCCAAACGACAACTACAACGAAAAAAATGAAGTCATCCATGCCATTAATTCCAAAAGAACCAGGGTGTCATTTGCTTCAGATCCTGTTGTTGGGGCATTCGGAAAAATTAAGAAGATATCATGCAGCCCCGCCGGACATCATGAATCTTTTATGTTGGAACTGCCGAGGGCTAGACAGCTCTTGAACAATTCAAGAGTTGATTCAAGTAGTTTTTTTTCATGCAATTCAATTAGTTTTTTAATCGAAACTAGGCTATATCAAAATAAGATTGAGTCTGTTAAAAATAAGTTGGAATTTGATGGATGTTTTACTGTAGAATGTGGTCATCATTGTAATGGATTACTTTTACTTTGGAATAAAAATGTGATAGTCGAAGTTTTATCTTACTCACCTCACCATATAGACTCCATTGTTGAATTCGATAATATGCGTTTCCATTTTACCAGGATTTATGGCCATCCCGATGCTAGATATAGGAACGAAGTTTGGACATTAATCAATTCTCTTAAACATTCATGTAATTTATCGTGGCTACTGGGTGACGATTTTAATAAACTTCTCTTGGATGCTGAGAAAATGGGAGGACTCCAAAAGTCTAGAGTACAAATGGATGATTTTCGTGGCATGTTAGATCGAAATGGTTTATATGATTGCAAACCTACAATTGGATGGTTTACATGGTCCAAGGGGAATGGCCCAAAATCATGTATAGCCGAATAACTGGATCGTTATGTAGCAACAACGGACTGGTTTCACAAATTTCCACAATATCGTGTAAATTCTAACTATGCATCTTATTTGGATCATTGTTTCTTATGCAAACAAGTTATGTAGCATGCGATGAAACATGCTCACATGGTAGGGGTCAGTTTTGTTTTGAGACATGTTGGGCTACTGAACCTGATTGCAAGCGAAACGTTGAATCCACGTGGAAACATACTCTTGGTCTGACATTAGCAAAATAGAGGCCATTGGTGATATGCTACATCACTGGCAACGCAAATAATTTGCTAGGAACAAGAAATGGATTGCACAGCTTCGACGTATTATTAATGGTACCATGAACTATCAAGGATCTCGGTTTAACTCCTCTAAATTAATTAAGGCCAAACGTGAGTTACAGGACCTCCTTGCTAAAGAGAAACAATATTGGGCGCAACGATTAATTAAGATGATAACCTTTGGTTATCTACGAGATAAAGTATTAACTAGGGTAAAAGGGTGGACAAGGAGACTGCTTTCTTGTGGGGGCCGTGAGGTTTTTCTTAAGGCAATGGTTCAAGCTTTACCATAAAATGACATGTCGTGCTACTTACTACTATATCATCTATTGACATAAATCACTGATATAATGCATCAATTTTAGTGATCTGGTTCGACTGATAAAATAGGTTGGGCTCTCCTAGATTGGGACAAGATTTACTGATAGGGAAGCGGTGGCGGGTTAATGAATGTTGCTCTTGTTGAAGAATCAAACCTAGAAAGCCCTAGACTCGATGAAGAACAATAAGGAATGAATAGGGAAGGTGACAGAAATAGCTAAGGTTCTTTAGGGTTTCTTTTAGGTGCTGAAAACAAGGTAAGAAATAAGATTAAAACAAGATAAATAAAAGATAAAGGAATTGAAAATAAAGTAAAATAACCAAGAAATCAAAAGATCTCCCTTATGAAAATAAACGGTAAATATGATTGATGACGTGGATGGATATGTGGAAAATCGATAGATAATGTCCTATCGAGCCCTCCTAGTCGCAGTGAAAAGGCAAAAACGATAATATGGCTCTAACCAACCCTCCTAGTCACGATGGAAAGGCAAATTGGAGTGTGAAGATTAATCTCCCTCACAAGAACTTGAAAGAACTCTCGAAGAAGAAGCTTCGAAGGCACAAGGCAATCAACACTTGCAAAAACGAACTCTCGTTGTATTATTAATCAAAGAAATCTGATTTACAAAGTTGAATAAAGCCTTCTTTATATAGGGGTTGAGTTCTAAAGGTCCTAAATAACTAATGAATAAAATATTAATAAACTAAACATGTCTTAACTCTAATTCCTAATAAAATACTAATAACTAAAAATAATGTTTTAATTCATCCTTAATTCCAAATAGAATAATAATTCTAATCCTAAAAGATAATGCTTCATCCTATATTAAATTATATTATAAATAATCAATATAAATATTGAAAATTCGTAATATTTACAAAATTCACGTATTGATCTAGTATAAGAATTTTTGCATGCACCGTCTCCACTAAAATGACTATATCTTGAGTTCCCGATATCATATTGATTCGATTCAAGAACCGTTGGAAAGATAAGGGATAGACGGTTGTATCTCCATAAGACATGTCGACCAAATAAGATCAGGATCCCATTCAAAAAGTCATCTCAAGTCTACTACTGTTATAGTCTTCTTTTCCAAGGCTTGGACGAGTTGATCATTTGGAAGAGTTATTACTTCTTTCTTTTATGTGAGCCTTGTGATGCATGTATAATTTACAAACCAAAACGGGTAAGTGGATTAGGTTTTAGAGATTTGAAATCCTTCAATGTTGCTATGCTAGGGAACCTGTTGTGGAGATTGATTAACGAGCCAGAAACTTTGTTTGCACGGGTTTATCGGGCCAAGTACTTTCTGAATGGTGACTTGTTACATATTAAATAAGGGAGAAAGGGCTCTTATTCCTGGAAGGGATTGTTTAAAACTCTACAGGAATTGGCACCAAGTTTTTTTTGGCGAGTTGGGTGTAATAGTATGGTTCGTTTATTTGAGGATCTGTGGGTGGGACGAAATAGATAAACTTGTCAGGTACCTACATTATCTATCAGTAGAGGGACATCCGCTATGGTGATCTCATGTTTAGATATCAACCACGGTGAGATCCAACCAAGGTTTGTAACACCTTGGCCGAAGAAAGTGATGTAGAAACAATTCTCCGAACACCGATAGCACCATGTATGACTGACAAGATAGTATAAGGCAATCATTCCTCCTGTAATTATTCGATGAGATCCGCCTATTGGTGGCTACAGAAGTCTACCCATGACATCGACCAGCCTTCTCCATTGTGGAAAATAATTGAAAACTAAAAGTTCTTCCAAAGGTACGTATTTTTATTTGGCGATTAGCACGTGCGACATTACCTTTGGAATATAGAGAGCGACGTGCAGGTTTAAGTGAGGGCATTTGCCCTTTGTGTATGTCGGCTGTAGAGACAACATTACACATGTTTAGAGATTGTTCAAATGTACGAGAAGTCTAATGAATGGCCGGTATTCCAGGTACAGTCTTGAAATTGTTTTGTGCACGAGGGAAAAATGCAACCCACTTGGCTAATTGTAGCTAATGCTAAGATGTTGCATCAAGAGTTTATTGGGGTGTATCGAGGACAACCTTCTCAACATAATGTTGTTGATGTGGTTGCTCGATGGCGTCCACTCCGAGGACAAGTGATTAGCATGTCACTCCAGTTGGTAGCAGTTGGGGTTATTGCGCACAACACGTAAGGAATGGTCCTTGGTGGTTTGGCTATGACTTCAGGTGGAATCCCTAAACATGTCTTTGCAGAATTAGCTTGTTTAGTTACTGCTATCAACCTTGCTTTACAGGAGGGATGACGTGATATCCATTTCGAACTAGATTCATCCACTGTCGTCAACTGCTATAATAATTCGGAGGGTGATTTTTCCACCATTGGTGTAACTATGGTTGATATTCGTATTAAATGTAACACTTTTTATAGTTGTTCTATTTCATATATATCTAGAGAAGCGAATAAGGTTGCCCATACTTTAGCAAAGAAGGCATTAGATTGTAATGTCTTTTATTCTCTTGTAATTGATGCCCTAGGTTTGTTTTGAATGATGTAATGGCTGATTTAAATTATGGTTAATAGAGTTGGGTACTCTTTTCCCCTTTTAGGACCCTAACCCTTGGGTTGGTAGTAGGGTTTTTAACGAGGCCCGTTTTCTTTAAATATATATATATATATATATATATATATAACATAAATGTTAATAATTTATTTTTAAAAATTAAAAAATTAATATATATATATATATATGTCAATTTGCTCATAATATTTTCGAGTCGAGTATCAA